GACATTTTTGCAAGGTTTTTTGATAACAACAGCCAACTCAGCTTCATAATCAACTTGATTATTAGTAGCGATAGATGGTACTTTGATTGGCTCAAAAGGATCTTGTAAAGAAGTTGCAGGTTTGATAAATAGAATTGGATGCGGAGGTAAAGATTGATTTGTTTCTTTAGCATGCTCTTTATAATTAAGACCAATGCATCGGATAATTGGAACTTGTGATTTATCGAGAGGTGCTAAGAGCTTTATTAATATTTATAAAAATATTGTCAAATAAGGATTTACGTGTAACGTAAATTATAAAGGTGAAAATACCTTTTTTACGTGCACAACTTCATTGGTGACTTTTGCAGTGTCCTTGAATACATCACCAACAATTAAATTAGCCTTTAATTCAGAAATGCTAGGCCATTTACCCGATGGGTCAATTATCGGTTGACCTTGTTGAATTTTATGATCATCTCCTACAAAGCTATGTGCAGGTATAAACACACAGGTTAATGCAACGGATGGTTGTAAATGATCATAATAAGTGCACTTGAATTATACACAATTCATCAATTTTGTAAAAAAACATAAAATTGATGCGTCTACTAAAATGTGCACGCGTAATTTCATAGAAATCATGAATGATGGTTTTTTTTTCTTTCATTTTTTATTGATAGTAATTTACACAAATTACCGAATCAAACGAGACCATCCACTCTACGATAATATAATTAAACTGGTTACGACTTATCATTTATTTAACTTATTTAAAAAAAAACAATAAAAATAAAAAAGTTACCTGAGAAGACGCCATTATTGAACGAGAAAGAATATGGCAATTAATCGAAAAACTTACACTTTTAACCTTTAATGATTTATGAATAATAACATTAAAAATAGAATAAGACATCGGTTTTTAGTTTTGAGACGAATTATCGTCGAATCTATCAAATTAGTATATGCATAATCCATAATCCATACATTAATTCCGTGAGAAAAAAATAATTGATGCAAAAATTTTAATAACTGGTCTAGTGTTACCACCCTAAAAATTTCGCTGGCCAATCAAATTTCAAGATCCTTCGTCAGATCATAAAAAATATGATTATTGCAAAACCAACGTTGATTGGTTGATTTACTAAGTACAATAGCTATAGTAAATATAGAGCTTCGTAAAAATAACTTGTACCTTTTTTTCTAAATATAATATAGATTGAAATTTTATATCTACATTCTACAAGACCTTAATTTCAGGGGTCCCATAATAGTATTTCTGAACCCCAAAATAGTCATAACTATTACTAGTGACAATGCCGAAGGGTTGACCGCGTAAAAATACGGGACCATGTGCAGTATGTGGCAAAAGCGACCTTACAGAAAAGTTTCGTAAACTGACACCAAACCTTTTGCTTAAAGCTATGCAAAGTACGGCCACTATAAATTTAAAGGTTGAACTTAGATTATATGGAGTGTCGTCAATTAAAAGTGACCACTTTTACATTTTTAAAAAAATTGAGTTTTTATTATATTATCGTAGAGTGGATGGTCTCGTTTGATTCGGTAAT